TTTAACCATCTGGAAATTTTAATAGATAATGAATGACGCTAGCAATATTTGATTGAGTCAGGTATATCTCTGTTTAATCACATTATTATCAGAAGATTGTAAAAAGCAATTATTTTCTCCCACAAAATCAGAAAATGTATAAATAGAATAAAAAAGGATAAAAAAAAAACAAGCTTTCATCACTGGATATATCAATAATGCAAAATACTGAAACTAACTTAGAAGGCGTCCTTAAGGCAGACTTTAGGTTAGCTCCTGCGGTGTGTGTGGGGGGGGGGATGAGCCATCGGCCTTTAACCTTCAGCTTTTTACCTTCAATGTTCTATATACGTAAAAGTTATAAGAATTTAGAAGTAATAAAATTATTTTATCTTTATTCGACACCTTAATTTGGTAAATATCTTTCTTCTCTCCATAGTTTGTTTACATTCATTTTGCGCGCAATTTTTATTTTCTTTTACAATCACCATTCTTTATGATTCCTTCACATAAAGTCACTCTTAAAAGACACTAAAGAACCCAAACTATGTAATATTTCGGATACGTCACAGTACGCCTACTAGAAAAGAAAAAAGACCATATGAATAACTTTAGAACTATTGGAATTGCATAAAATATGTTTTAAAATGCTATATATTATGCAACATAAATATATGGGAGAGCATCTTGTCTATGTTTTGTGATAAACAACTGTCTTATTCATTTTTTTGAACTTGTTCTTGTTTGTTTTTGCTTTGTTTATCTCAGCGCTGACATCGTTATATTGACTTTACTGTTATTGACATCGTTCCAAGTATGACGTAAAATATTTTTAATAGATTGAATGAGATAGTTTGGTTACCGTTAACAAGGACAGAAAAATACTGATTTTGACATATCTTTTAGTGGAGTAATGGTTAACATGCTTGTCTCGCGCGATCACTTATGATTGACTTATGATCATCATACAGGTTATAAGACTTTAGTACACGACTCAATTGACCAATAAAGGAAGGAAAGGTGTCGCGTTTAAGGAAAAAAGAGAAATTTACACTTCCAACTATTGCTATGGTTGATGAATTTTAAAATACTTCAAAGCTTGAATAAAGTTAAAAAGATTAGGTAACCCTAATTTTTTTACAAAAATATTTAAAATGGAAATTATTTTTCGCGAGTTTCTACGTTTTTCAGTGAATCACGTTAGCAAACAAAAACGGATTAAAAAAAAATTGCGATTTCCACAGCGAATGCAGAATTTGTAAATTCTATGCATATTCTGATATATATAATTGAAACGTGAAATAGGGCAAAATTTCTTCTTGTTTTATAATATCAATCGACCAAATATCTGCTAATAATACTAGCAAAGAATCTTTGTGATATTAATGGTACGTAATCAATCAAACGTACATATGCAAACATCTCAACAAAAACACACCTAGTAGAAATACATTGTATTAGAATACTAGCATCAATGTAGATGATATATAGATTTGTTGGCGTCAAAGAGAGAGAGGAAGAGATGGCTTGGCTTACCCTCAAATTTCATCCTGTTTATTAAGTAATTTTTATGGCATTAATTTTATTGATCTTTATTTAATGATTAGCATATTTCGGCCAACTTCTTAATTCCATCTTTCTAAAGCATTTTATCTTTCTGTGCAAAAAAAAAACTTTCTAGCTGTCCTTTTTGAAGTTTTCTCGGCGCGGAAACTGTTTTCTTTTTTTTCTTCTTTAATAGAAGGCTGGAATAAATGGTAATCCGAAAATGCAATATATTCGGAATATGATTGTTTAGTAAAACTTCCCAGCCAACATACAATATTTTGTCTAATCACCAAAGAATAATGTGGTCAAACTTTCTCTCTTAATTAATTATAGATAATTTTCCTTGACTGATAATAGAAAATTATTTTTTAATATACATTTGAAAGTCGGCCTTTAGTAAATAATGTTATTAATATGGTTAAAGCATTTCTCTTAACCGGCGATTTCTTGCGGTCAAGCGTTTGTAAACTATCCACTTTTCATTGTCCGCCACAATTAGTTTAAAAAAAGAAAAAAAAAAGTTTAAGTAGCAAATACGATTAAATATTTTTCACTTGAATGACCAAGCTGGTGTAAATTATTTTCAAAGCTTGATTTTAACATATTTAATGTGTTTGCTATCTTCCGCATCATATAACCTCTTCTTTCAAATATTACTCTGACTTGATCTCCATCAATCTCAACTGGTCTATATTCCTTGGATCATTGTTCAGCGAGAAATCTCTATCATGAAATTTCACAAACTCTTGACACGCTTGAGATTTCACAGTTACTTCTCCATAAACTGCACAATTCATTTTTTCCACCAACTCTTATTATCACCACCCGTATTAAGCACTACAAATTATTCTTATTATTACCATTACGTATTAAGCACTACAAATTATTCAATTTCATTATAAAAATGTATTTGCTTACTACAGCATATTTTCAAGACAAGCCACCGCATTTTATCATGTATATGAGCATCTGTCAGTTTTGAAGATTTTTCACTGTTATTATTTAACAGTCAATGTGTACAATATTTTTATATTAGGTACCTCAACTTTTTTCGCTAAGATTTTCGATATCTAATGGTTAAAATGAATTTTTAAAAAAGAAAACACATTCTTGAAGATTTCTTTTTAGTTTAAATTGAAAGATAAAGGATTAAATTGACTATTTCCAGTAGGTAAAATATTCTGGTGTATTTCATATAAAAATTATATAGATTGGAATGTCAAATATTTGCTCGATTTCAAAAAAATCTGTTTACTGGTGACCATAACTTACTTTTTGACAAGATTTAAAATAAAATTAATTATCGGTTTTAAAAATCTCCCAAAAGTAAAAAACATATTTGTGACGCGTTGAGTAAAATTAGCAAATTTAAAGTTAAATTAATCTGATTTCTTAACGACGGTCCTGTTTTTCTTATGCTTTATTGATGTTATCGATCAGCTCCGAAGTTTTGACAGCTAGTACGGATGACATAAATTTACGAAATCAAAATGAACGCATTTTTGGGGTTTTAACTACCTAGGAATTTTTACAAATTAACATATTTTCAGCAATTATCTAATATTTTATTGACTTTCAGTTACGTTTGAAGATGCTTTCTGAAAAAATAAAATTTTGTAATAACTGAGATGACATACCATGATAGAGATAACTCAATAATTTATGAACGTTATGGTATTTTATTTATTATTAATTTATATTTTTTAATATCTTTTTTTTTTATTTTAAAGTTGAGACGTAAACATGCAATGAATAACAGACAAGCGAATTTCTCTGAAAATGAAAGACAACTCTTACAACATGTTACCTTTTCATGATAATGCCACGTTTAAACTACCATAGAAAAAAATGGGAATGATTAAAGTAAAAAAAAATATTTTAAAAACATACTAGTAAAACGATGTATATTAAGCTTTTCAATTTTGGATTCATAAATTTCGTTTCCGCTTAATTACAATATTATCTAAAAGAAATAAAGCAATGCAGAATTTTAAACGATTTTTACATTATTATAATTAAAATTTAAAAAAATAAAAAATTCTTGTAAAATTCATTATTCATCGAAAAAAAATTTCTTAAGACAATAGTGACATTAATATAACTTTCTTACAAAAGCAATTAAAAGCTTTTCTAATTAAATAATGCCACATTTTGATCACATTTTTATTTTACCATTCGGAGCAGATTTTCAGTACAAACAGTAAAAGTTTGAGAAAAAATTGAGTGATATACATTCTCCAAGGAGCCCTACTTTTAACTAATAAAAAATTCTGGAAAGAAAATTTAATTTCTCGAAATTTCATGAAATTAAAGTGGTGGGGGGTAACATATGTAAAAAAAAATATATATTTTTTTTTACCAAGATTTTCTAAAACAAAAAATTAAAAAAAAATAATTTCATTCATCTGTGAATAAGTCCTGAAAGTTTCATTAAAATCTGACAATTATTTGATATTTGCAAGAATTTCAAAATCAAGGTGTTTTTCACCGTAAAAAAAGAGTAATTGTAAAAACTAAAATAAGATTTTTAGCCAAAATTTCAAATGTGTTGGAATGGTTTAGGAAAATTTTAAAAACAATTAAAAAATACTTTGGTCTTTCCTTAACATAAGCATTTTGACAATAAAACTGTTTGAATTAAGAATATGGCTTTTTCTCATCATGTTATGTTGTTTTTTTTCAGCGAGCATATTTATGAACTGTTCTTTTTTTTTTTTTTTTTTTTTTTTTTTTTTCGCTAATATATTTTCTAAAATTTATCAGTATGGATTGTGATCGAACCCCTATTCAATTGCGAACATGTGTGTGACTTAGTCAGTATCCTGAGTTCCTTTTTTTTACCTTTATTTTATTTTTTCATATTTAATATTTTCTGGGGGCCTTTGTAATACCTGTACATAGATCATTCCCTGGAGCAAAATAAAACTCTCGCCCAATATAAGGTTTTACATTTTATGCACATCTCTTCAAATGCACGCAGACGTCATTATGCGAAATCGAAATCCGTTTTTTTTTGTTTTTTTTTTACATCAAGAATAAGCATAGATGCGCTTGCATAGTTTCTTTTACGTGAATTAACCCAAACAAAGATTTTGGGGGAGAGAGAGAGAGAGAGAGAGAGAGAGAGAGCACGAGCGTTCGCGGATACGTATTACTTTCATATCATTATGTTTTCTTTCCTCAGTAGCATTGAACGAAATGTGTTCTATCATTTGAATGGATCAGCGTCCAAGGGTAACGAACTGCATATATAAACAGTGTCAAACGCTGAGTACTGTCCGAAATATCAGCAGTTGCTACATAACCGTTGAGGCCACAGAGCACATTCAACACTGGCAACAACAAAAAATTTAATCAAAATTCACCTGTGTAAAGTAAAGACATTTTTTTATAAACGCATCACGTGTATATAAATAAATAAATATTTATTTATTTATATTTGTCATTGAATCATCAATTGAAATACACAAAAGATGAAAGCTTCTGTTTTATCTATTTTTGGTGAGTTTTTCATTTCGCTTTTTCTTTTCTTTTTTCCATTGATGGAAATATTTCTAATTAAAAAAAATATATTTATTGATAATGTTAATTCCCAGACATACATATGCTATGTATGTTGTTGTTTTATGTGCATATGTGTTGTAGTTGCTAGTGTATATGCCGTACACACACACACACACACACACACACACACACACACACACACACACACAAAGAAAGCCAAAGAATCATATGAGAAAGCAAAATGCATATGAAAAAATGCGAGTATGAGAAAAAATAATAATTTTAAAACATAATTTAAAATTAACAATTTAAAATAATGTAAAACTTCAAGTTCTGTCTTTTTAAATACATATTTACAACTACAAAAATGAGTTAAAACTTAATCGTACATTACACGTACATTAATGAATAATTATTGTTTTTTTAATTACCATTTTTTACAAGAACTAATTATAACATTGAGTTTTTGTTTGAACATGGTTTTACATTCCCTACTCGCGCCTCTAAAATAATATTTATTTGTTAAAAAATAATGTAAAAGAAAACATAATGAATAATTGAATAATTGTATTTGCATGCAGTTTTATATATATATATATATATTTTCTTTTTGGAAGTATAAGACTAAGAGTGTATTTACGTATGAACGTTGCCATGATAGTTTGCATCTTTATTTTTAGATTATTTCAATTATTTAATTTTAAAGCCATTCACACACATACTCACGCATACGCAACCACAAACATACGATGTTAAAAATAATACAGAACACAACGAAACATAATGCATAAAATAATATTCACAACTAAATGCATTTTGTTAATAAACTGTCTTTGATAATGACTTACGAAAGCCGTGAGTGCTCAAACTTCAATCTTGATATTAAACAACTTATCAGAAAAGAGGATTTTTTTTTTTAAAAATTCAAAAATCATTTATTCAATCAAAACTTGAGTTTATGCATATTGTATTTGCTTGCGTATGAATTTGTTTTTCTTGTTTGCTTTTTTGGACCTTTGGTATTGCTTTTTTCTTCTTTTTATCTTTTTTAGCGGAGCAGTAGAGATCATTAAGATTTGTTAATCTAAAATTTTGGAAACTCTACCCGGCATTATTATTATTATTATTATTAATGTCATCATCATCATCATTCGATTTCTGCTATGGACACACTACCTACCAAGTCTGCGGAAAGACCTAAGGCAGGTCGTGGTGTGTTGTTATGCCACATTTCATGTTAATTTTTTTTTTTTTTTTTTTTATCTCCGATGAAGTTGCTAGCGTTACATAGACAAAGTTCTCCTTAGTGTGTGTGCTGTACTTAATAAGACAATTTTCTGTATGTCTCTTAAGCTGGGGTTTCAAGGATTCTTTCAATGTGTTGTTTTGTTCCATTTTTTATAATTCCAAGTGCACCTATTACCACTGGTATTATTCTTGTTTTCAATTTCCACATTTTTTCTATTTCAATTTCCAGGTCTTTGTATTTTGATAGTTTTTCAAATTCCTTGGTTGCTATGTTACAATCCGCTGGACAAATTATATAAATAATATTATTATTATTATTATTATTATTATTATTATTATTATTATTATTAACACTTAAGAGCGCGATTAAAAAAAAAAAAAAAAAAAAAAAAAGAAAGAAAGAAAAGACAGTGTTGATAGTGTTCAACAATATTTTGAAAGTATGTCTGTCTTCAAGTTATATTTTTAAAAGATTTTTTCAAGTGTAAAAATATATAAATTTACAAAAATTATTTGTCTCGTGGTAATCAACGCGTCAAAATTTTCAATTTGAAAAGCACGAAGAAAAGAAAACTTATTCAGTTTCTGGAAAAATGTTATCCAACTTGTGGACGCTGGCTTGACACTGATTACTAACAAATTTCCTGAAATTCCAAATTACTATCTTTTCCCATACTGATTTCCTCATATATTGTCCACATCGCACAATTTTTATATACCACACAAAAAAAAAAACAACACTTTGTCAACTAACTTTTTGGTGGCAATTGTACTGATTCCCATTTAATATACGCAGCCCACTGTACCAAACATGATTTGATTTATGTGGGTTGCACAACGGAAAAATGAAATAAAAGATTCAAGGGCCACTGGTATTATGTCAGCCGCGCAACAATGTGACATCTACCGAGCTTGCAGGACGTTTATTACAAACGACTGTAATTTCGACAAACATATTAATAAATTCTGAAATTTTCACCATTAAAACGCATGACGCATGCAAACTACTAACTTTCCGCCCCGGAGGAATGAACAGAATAACAGGAGAGTTCCATACTAAGCTGTTTGATTAATTCGTCTTAGTAATTAACCAATTAACAGACAATTTCAAAATGAACAAGATGATCATATTACGCCGGTTTCAATTACATGCCTTCACGCTGGCGACGATTCATTCGTTTTGATGATTACCAGTGCAGCCGAATTTTGTTTCATTACAAAACAAGAAACGTTTATGCAGAGACTTTATAGTACCTTTATAGATACCTTTCTTATGAAATTTTATCAGAAGTGTACATAAAATACTATAATTTTATGTACATTTATTACATTTTACTGTTTTATTTGTATTTCCATTCTTTTTATTATTAATTTTGATATTTCATTTATGGAAAAATGTCATAACTGAGATTAATATAAAAACAAGATCATATAAATTTCATAAGATGATACTAATACTTGTAGGTACTCTTCTCAGTTAAAATTGAAAAATCAAATTAACTTCCCCACACGCAAAAGTAAAGGCCTTAACAGCGGAGAACAATGCTTAACTCAAATAACGCAACTTAATTGTATTCTGGTTGGTCTTCCGTATTTTATAATTACAGCCCGATTATAAACACAAAATTACATTTCTTAATTATTGCGGGTCTTCTGATTAGTCAAAACGATACAATTTACATTACAATGTGTTAAAAAGATCTATCTCATAAGGACATTTACGAAAGTGGATGCGGCTTTTAACTAATTTTATTATTTTTTAACAACTTAAATGTAAAAATCTATTATAATTAAAGAAATAACAAATAATTATATGAAAAAATTCATTTTTCATCGAAAAAATTTTTGCTTTCAGAAAATATTGCCCATATTCATAAAAACAGCTAAAAGCAAATAAAAGCATTTGAAATTAAATAATATCTTTGTTTTATTGTATGTTACAATTATTATTATTATTATTATTATTATTCTAATGATAAGATCGTCAAATAATTATTAGAATATTATAATGTAGAATTTAAAAAAGAAAATTAGAATCTTCAAAAATGATATGCTTTAAAACGTAATTCTTGAATTCAGAATGTTAAAGACGGAGTTTGTAATTAAGTTTAAAGTCAATATTTAGTTTTTTTTTATCTGCTTAATTTGGAAATATTTTAAACACTGTAATTATTTTATATAGGCACACGCAGGTGTATTTATCTTCTCTCTAAAATTGCATATATATTTTTGCCAACAATGAATAGTGAAAGAATGAAAGAATTTATAATGTCAAAAATTAGTGACAACTGGAGATTGGTTGAACAAACAATACTGGAGGTTTTACGTGGCATGTTCCAGCGCTGCCCGTAACTGAGTTGTGTTTTTTGGTGTAACGGGCAATTTACAGACAACATATCCGATATATGTTCAATAACAAGGGGTTTCAGTGACACCATTATCTCGAACAACACCATGCTGACAGGTTGCATCCATAGCCTCATGAGGTTTTCTTCATACGTAAATTCAACTGTCTCCATGAAGAAACTGGAAACATAATTTATCTAAGCAGGCGACACTGCGTCAGTCTTTCATGGTTCATTGACGATGTTCTCTGGTCCATCAACCAATGCTATTGTGTAAGTAATGATGCTATTGTTGGTTGGCGACTATATAACTCTGTGAAATGTAATATACACTTTGCAGTGCGTTAGTAAATGGGTCGAGCGTTACCAGGGTTGATTTAAGATTGGATTTGATTCAAACTTTCTTTTTCATTGGGTGGTAAATATTCTTGTCAGTCACTGGCGATGTCGTCTTTACATCATCTGTGAGCACACACGCAGTTTTTATATGCTACTAATATCTGCCCAGAATGAACATATTCTTTGTATAGCTTTGCTAATGTTACCCGAGAAAAACTTGAAGCACATCAGAGATAGAGTGTCTTCTTTTTTGGCCTAAGTAATCACTTCGAGTCAAACAAAGTCGAATCCATCCACTGCTACCCTGCCACAGCTACACTACCTATTTCCTTATTATATCATATATACATCTTCTGATTGTAATGAAGGGGGTGAGACAATCTAGCATACTGCGACCTCTATTTGTTATTTATAAGCGTGTGGAGAAATAGAAAAGAAAAGGTAGATAGATTACATGAATGTCTTGAAAGCAAATCTGCTGATAAACTGATTATAAAAGCTGCTAGGTAAATAAATTATTGTCTTAGTATTTTGTTATCATCTATCCGAAGCAAGAGGGCGTTCTAATGAAAGATGTGTGATTTGGAAATAATAATAATAATAATAATGATAAAGTGAAAAGCAATAATAGTACTAATAAAACACTGAGCATAGAATTTAGTCAAAGTCATCCGAGTTTCCTTTTCATCTTTCAATTGCTTATAATGCAGCTTCAAGCATGTTTGCACAAACCCAAAAAGACCAGCTCAGAGTCCGAGAAATTTGTAAACAGTTTTCCATGAAAAATGGCTCAAGCAACTCTTATTGATTCTGTATTCTTGCGATCTTAATGAGAAGAAAGTGTTTCCTGGTTTATTTAATTAGTTGCTTCAAACTGAACATTTAAGCTTGTGACAAATTTAATTAGTATGAATACCTGTAAAATCTACAACACGAGTAGAGTAAGTTCCTAATGCTACGTAGATACGTGGCTCATAAAGTAGTTTGAACTTGTGGAGACTATCAAGTGGAAAGGTGGGCGTTATCCTACGTTTTTTTTTTTTTTCGTTCTTCATTCATTATTCC